CAGGAGCAGACTAGCAGAATGTGACCTTTGGAGATGTAAATTATTATATATGCCTGAGTGGGTTTTTTTGTTTGTGTGTTTTTCAAAAAAAAGCTAAAGTGGCTAGAGAGAAAAACTGTTAACTGATGGTACATGGAGGGGATTATAATCAATGTAATGAAACAAGGTGTATGATTTGTTGTATAACTAATGATATGCCCTGCAAACTTACACTCAATCCACAATAAAAACCTTAAAAAAAAAAAAAAGACAACAGAAGCCGAAGTACACAGACAGGAGAGGTTGCAGGGACCGTGGCAACGAGCACGCCACCAGCAGGAGCATCAGGAATGGCTGTGCAGCCCAGAACGGGGCCTCACGAACCCAGTCAACATTCAGGGCAAACTTCACATGGTTATCTTCTGGTCAAGCAGATACAGAAAAACTCACTGCAGTCCAGTTGATTCCAACCCATAATGAGCCCATCGGGCAGAGTAGAAATGCCCCATAGGGCTTCCACTACTGTAAGTCTTCACAGAAACAGCCTTATCGTTCTCCCGTGGAGCAGCTGGTAGGTTTGATCCACTAGCTTTGCAGTTCACAGGCCAACATTTAACCCACTGTGCCACAAGGTCGCCTCTAAAAGGCAAACTTAAAGGCTTCCTTATTTCCCATTTTAGAAGAAACACACACACACATTTATATATACACCACACACTGCAGAAAGAAATTATAGGTGAGCTTCCAAAGCCATTGCAATTGAGATAAACAGTGTCATCAAAAATAGAGAAGTAGGACTCTAATCTCAAATACTATTTCCTCTAACCCATGACAAGTCTAGTCTGCTCACTAGTGACCACCTGGGTCTACTTGTAAGTGGAAGTGGGGGAAATGCACCAATGAAAACATGGACTGAATTTGGCCTTGTTCCACTGACGCCCGTTGACCTTGAGACGAGAGAGAGAAGAGGAAGGGCTGGCTGGTTTGAAGTTTAGGAAGATGTATGAACTCCTGAGACCATGGGGGCTAGAGCAGAGAATGAACTGGCCACCTGATCTGAAGTGCAGGGAGGTGTGTGTGAATTCCTAAACTTACATCTAGTACCCATTTTACCTAGCTTGGATGGCTAGTTGATCAGAATTTGCACCAAAGACGATAAAGATGTTTGATACTGAAAATAAGTGCAAATTGCTACAATTTGACAAACTGGACTTATGCCTATGAATGCAACAACTCAAAATTCCAATCAGAATGGAAGGATTGTTCAAATTAAGGAACAACCTTGTTTCCTTAGTACACTGGGTTGATAGGGACGAGAAATGTAGACACTGCTGTATCAAAAACGGGTAGTGGGGATTACAGAGGCATGAAGTGGCTGGTTTACAAGCTTTCATGAGAGTTGCAACAAGGGAGATACCACTAAATAGTTTCCCTCTTTCCCAGATGGATCTGGTGACAGGGGATGGGGATGATGGTGACAGGATTTTATGACTCGGTTGTGAATAATTGTTGACAGGATTAACTGCAATAGTCACAACTGTAATTGTAGAAGATGTGCAACTAAAGGAGGGAGTAGGTAATCTTTCATTTCAGGATCATCAAGAAGGAAGAGCATGAGTGGAGCGTGAGATCCCTATCTCGCAAAGTGGCAACAGCAAAGATGGTGGCTGTGTACCTGCAGGCAGGAGGCTGGCTGTCAGAATGTGCCCTTAGGACATTTAAATGAATATATATATTTTTTGTTCTGTAAAGTGTCATTCAAATGTTTTTGCCTTGTTCATTTGTGAAATATAAGATGTAAATGAGGAGCCACAGGGAGGAAGTGGGATAAATGTTGTTTCATTGAGATGAAACATGGTGTATGGTTTGTTTAATGCAGAGTTGATGATCTTGTCTGTAAGCCTTCATCCAATTCACAATAAAAAGTTAAAAAAATAAAATGCTGTTTTATCTAGAGCAGGGTTAGGGAACCTTTTTTCTACCAAACTTTATAACATCATTTGTGGGCCATATCATTGCTGCTGTTGTTAAGTATCATCAAGTAGGTGTTGGCTTATAGGGACCCTATATAGGAGCAGTTGGTGAGTTTGAACCACTGACCTTGCGGTTCAAATGGACCTTGCAGTCCAGAGCATTATTTCACAGCGCCACACCATGACTCTAATTATCCACTTAAAAATTTGCCTGCTTTATTTGGTCAAACATTTAATTCGCTCACCCCAATATCAAGGTCACCAGCTGTTCCTCAGAAACCCTATATAGGATCGC